TGTGTGTGTGTGTGTGTGTGTGTGTGTGTGTGTGTGTGTGTGTGTGTGTGTGTGTGTGTGTGTGTGTATCGATCTCGTTCGTTGCACACCCCTCGCGCCTTGCTGCACGCCTCTCGTGCCTCGCTGCACGCCTCTCGTGCCTCGCTGCACGCCTCTCGCACCTCTCGCATCTTTCTCACGTTCTCACGTGCGCCCGCCCATCCAACCGCAGCCATCACCGAGTGGTACATCCAAGCCGGGTGCACTGGGCTGTTCGCCAACTGCCTGAGTTCGGAGATGTACGATGTGCGTCACCATGGCAATCCGCCCTCCCCCCACTCATTCCCGCTTGCGTGTACCTTTGGCGGATCCCAGCCTGCTGCTTGCTTGTGATGCTGGAATTCATCCTGCTGGCAACCACCCCAACTGTTATACTGATGCTACCTTGATGCGATGCACGACTCCTCTGCGTTTGCATGTTTCTTTGTGATCATGCGCATCGTCACCAGCTGTCCCCAGAGGAGAGGGTCCAAATCACGCGCGCAGTGACAGACAAGGCTGCCGGGCGTGTCACCGTTGTGGCGTCTGGCGGCTTGGGTTGCGCGTCTATCGAGGAGCACGCGAGTGTTGTCAAGCAAATGGGCGCGGTGTGCGACGCTGTCGTGGTCAGTCACACCAACCTGCACCCGGTCGACCTGCCATCCATGTCTTGTTGCCTGAGAAGGAGGTTATCGCGGGAGGGGAGGGGAGGGGAGGGGTTGCAACTTGTCTGCTGTACCCTCGCCTCACACTGACGACGTACACGTGCCCCGCATGTTGCTCGCAGGTGGTCGTGAACCAAATGGCCAAAGAAGACGAGGGCGATGACGTGTGGAAGCGCAACGTCGAGGTGCGCCCTATCACCCTGTCTCATGACACCAAAGCAAAAACACAAGCCTCCATGTACGACGGTGTAGGACATGCTGCGTGGCACGATAACACCAGACTCACGCCAGCCTTTCCGTGAACATGACACAGCGACTGCTTGAGCTCACAGGCGACATTCCACTTGGCCTTTATGAGTGCCCAAAGCCATACCACAGGTGTGCTGTGCGTACGTGTCCATGTGTATGCGTGCGCGTGTATGTGTATGCATGTGTGTGCGTGTGTGCATGTTTGTGCATTTGTGTGTGTGTGTGTGCGTTTGTGCGTTTGTGTGTGTGCGTTTGTGTGTGCGTTTGTGTGTGTTCACTCAACACGCTACAACTACTTCATTGTGTGTGTGTGTGTGTGACTGTGGTGGCACAGGCTGCTGTCTGCGGATCAGCTTGCATGGGCTGCATCCACGGGTCGATTCTATTTTCACAAGGACACCTGCTGCCAACTCGAGGTACGTGTGTGCGTGTGTGCGCGTGTGTGCGGAAGTTTGTGAGCAAGTGTTGATGTGTCCTTTGCCTATCTCTCTCTCTCTTACACACACACACACACACACATACACACAGACACACACACACACATACAGACACACACACACGCACACGCACACGCACACACGCACACACACACAGACGGCTTATCTGTGGTGTTTGATAACGTATACATGGACACTTTGCCCCAAATGCACACAATACGCGACAATGCACATATCCTCACGTCTACGCCTCACCTCAACATCGACAACGGTCCCTCAACCACGTGGTTGGCAACGCCAACGCAGCCCATCAAGGCCAAGCTGGCTGCGCTTGAGCGGCTGCCACAGACCATTCCCTTCAAGTTCTACAACGCAAATGTGGCCACTCTCCTCTCCTCTGTTCGCGCTGGCGCAAAGTGAGTGCTGATGTGCCTGGAGAGAAGCAAGGGAAGGAAATGCCGCCTGCAGCATCCATGGGCGCGCGCGCAAATGTGTGCGTGTGTGCGTGTGTGCGCTTGTTTACGCGACTGCATGTGCGGATTGCAGTGCTTGTGCTTGTGCCATGCTGCAGTCGCTCATCTGCAAGACCTGCCACTGATTGCTCCCCCCCCACCACCACCACCATCAGCGGGTTCAGCGGCATCTCTGCAAACTTCTATCCACAGCTGTTGGTGTGGCTGACGGCCAATCCACAGCACGAGATGAGCGAACATGTGCAGGACATGCTTTCCGTCGCAGAGAATGTCGTCGCAGACACGGTGCGTGTTGGTGCGTGTTGCTGTGAGTGCGTGTTTGCGGTTGAGTCTTGTCATGTGTCGCGTGGACTGTGTTGCGTGTATGTCTACGTGTGCAAAATGTGTAGATCACTCTCTATCAGTGCTGACCTTCTGACACACCCGTCCCGCTTCGCTTCATCCCTCCACCCGCATGCGCACAGTATCCGCTCTCGGCCAAGATGTTCCAGACGCTCTTTGAGGGATTCGACGGCTCCACACGCACCCGCTGTCGTGAGTCACATACCCTGCGTATATGCATGGGTGTGTTCTCTTGCGTATGCTTGTGTTCTCTTGCGTATGCTTGCGTTCTCTTGTGTGCGTTCCCGTGTTAGAGAGCGCTGTCGTGTGTATCGACTTCAATCCAATAACGCGCCACCACCACCACCACCACCACCACCACCATCACCACCACGGTTATGCAGTGGGCGACGCGACGTTGAACGAGGAGCAGCACCTGAAGTTGCAAGCGCTGCATCGCGTCATGGCGTCTCTCTCCCGCGATCTGGGACTCGTCGTCCTCAACCCGGCAAAGGTTCTCTGATGCAGCCAGCGCGCACGGCCGTTGCTGTTGCTCGTGTACTTGTGCCGTTGTTGTTGGCGGTGGTGGTGTGGGTTGTGATGTTGGTGGTGGCGATGTGGAAGAGGGTGCCGTGTGCTGTGCGTGTGTGGGATGGTGGTTGAACATTGTGGTGGTTGACCATGAAGTGCCGCGGGTGCACCGTACGAGACACAACCCATTCTTCTCCTCCTCTTCTGTTCCCTTGATCAGTTACTGTCCTTCTATTGGCTGCTGTTGTGCCTGAACACACAAGCAGGTGCGGTGAATGTGTACACCAGGGGCACATGTTGTGGTTGCATTGAAATTGAAAGCAAACGAGAGCACAGCCTGCATCATCAAAGCGGACAAAGAAGCGATACCTGGCCTGATTGAACAGAGAAAAAGAAGAGGAGGAGGGGGGTTTGGCGGAGTAAAGATGGAAAAGAGAGGCAAAGGGCTGCGCACATGCCACGACATATGCGTGTGCGTGTGCGTGCGTGTGTATGTGTGTGTGTGAATGATTCGGCGACGAAGGTGGAGGTGGTGGTGCAAGCGGCTACAGGGCGTGCTCGTCTTGCTCAAAGGGCGCGTGGGTCTGCATGGAGTCCGACACAGCCCGCTGGTTGATCAACTGCAGAAAAGGCAGCGCGGAGAGAGGGGTCGGAACAAAGGGGCGCGTGAGGTGTGAGAAGGAGTGCGAGCGACGGACCAGGCCACCCAACAGAACAGAACAGAACAGAACAGCAGTGGAATGTGCAATGAAGAAGAAGAAGAAGAAGAAGAAGAAGAAGAAGAACAAGAAGAAGAAGAAGAAGAAGAAGAAGAAGAAGAAGAAGAAGAAGAAGAAGAAGAAGAAGAAGGGAAAGAAAGTGAATATAGTGATTGAGGAAGGTGAACAGGCAAACACACACACCCACACACACACACCCACACACACACACACACACACACACACACACACACACACACACCGCACCTCAACCAGGTCGTCGTCCCGTGTGCGCGTGAGTTCTGCTGCGTCCTCTCTGCTCTTGTGGAGGAGGAACACGCCACCGCAGATGGTGAGGAATCCACAGAGACACGTGATGAGCGCAGGGGCAGAGCTGCCGGCCGGGCAGTTGTCGTCGTCAGCGGCCGCTTGCTGTTCAACGTATTGTTGTTGCGGTGAAAAGGGGGACATGGTGGTTGTTGGTGTGGGGTGAGTAACATGGATGTTGTGGCAGTGCGAACGGGAGGCGCGATGGGCAA